GTGGCGTTCGAGTCGGTCTGGGAGGTGGTGCCCGACGACCCGCCCTCAGTGCCGCCGGAGCTGCCGTCGGTGGTAGTACCCGCTGAGGTGCCTCCGGAAGTGCCTCCAGAGGTGCCTCCGGAGGTGGCGCCGGTGGTGCCGCTAGCGGCCGAAGAGCCGGTGCTCGACGAGGCGTTGGAGGCGGCGGCGGTGGCGGCTGCGACAGGCTCTGCCCGGGGAAGAAGAATACAATAATAATATTATCAATGATCATAATGATGTTCCCGAGAGATGATCAAAGGAACTTCTGCTCCGGTTGCCAATGGCTTCATCTGGCCAAAGAGCCAACCCCTCTTCACAGCTGATTGGTTTATATAGTGTTCGCATTGCTATCCATTTTTTTCCAGTTGGGTGTGTTCATTCTACATAATTATATAATTTCTTTTGTACATTAATGGCAGAAACTTCAAAACATGAACATTTCAAATTATTTTTAAAAATCTAAAAACATCTCACAACCAAAGCAAATCAATGACATTAACATTCGGATGCGGCATAACTTCATTCACAGCAGACATAACAAAATAAATTATACTAAAAGAGCGCATTAGACAGTAAACTACGATTTGTATAGGCTTGATATACATCTCAATAATAACTAGCTGATAAAACCTCAAATGTAATCCGTAGATAGAGGGGAGGTAAAATGCTCGTGGGAACAGCCAAACGGAGGGCGGGGGGGGGGGATGTCACCTAAACCAACGCGTCACCAAGCCCTTACCGCGACCCGTGCGAATCCGATGATGGAGCTTGGACTTCGGATTAAGATGTCTGTAACTTTATTCACCAACTATTACAAGGTCTGCACTTTGGTTAGATTTTACCAATATTTTACCGGTATTATAATTTTGTGTGAATTCTTACATCATGATACACAGGTGATCATTGATTACTAACTCCAGTCCATGCCGAAACCATGGTTCTAGCACCGCATTCGCATGATTTGCGGTAATAGTGGAAACCCTGCAACCAGCCCATGTTATCTCGCAACAACAGACAGGTATCAGCCTAATGGTACCACTATCAGCTGATCAGTTCCTTATAGCATGGTTGGTCCTTTGAACAATATACCTTATATCTGTATATACTACACGAGAAGATTTAACTGTCTCTTAATAACATGGGATATATCTCGTTAATGGTAGCGTATTGCCCATTATGGTCGATGTNAATAGTTATTATAGTATAGTTCTAGTTTATAAGTTCACTAGTCTATTAATAGTTTATAGTTGAGGTGGAGAATATTTATAGTTATTAATAATTTATAGTTATTATAGTCATATATAGTTATAGTTATTTATTGTCATTATATTCGGTTATGGTCTATAGTTATAGTTATTATTGTTATTTTTTATAGGATAGTAGGATAATGAAAAAGGGGAATAGGCAAGCAAGTGAATTAGAGCAAAAACAATAAGTAATCATTTAAAAGTATAAAAAAACAATAAAGTATATAAAAACATCAATATAAAAACACTATATAAAACATTATTAACAAATATAAAGCATATAAAAACATTAAATTATATAAAAATAATATATAGTATATAAAAACATTATAAAGCATATAAAAACAATAAGTAATTATTAGAGTAAAAACAATATGCCTCGTTATTGCTCTTTAAAAGTATGGTTAAATTCGCTACATTTACGGCGACTTTGCTTGTTCTTCTGCGTTCTTGTTCTATGACCATATCTTTGGCTTTTGGAAAGACATACTGATGCACTGATGTATACTAATTTAGGAAGATATACTGGTATATATAAAGAATATAAGAAAATACTGATATAAGAATATATGATATATATATACTGATATAAGATATATTGATATAAGATATACTGATATAAGATATATTGATATAAGATATACTGATATAAGATATAATTGTAAGATATATACTGATATAATAATATACTGATATAAGATATACTGATGTAAGATATACTGATATATATATACTGATATAAGATATATTGATATAAGATATACTGATATATATACTGATATAAAATATATTGATATAAGATATACTGATGCAAGCATAATATATATATACTGATATAAGATATACTGATATAAGACTACTGATATAAGATATATGATATATAATATATATATATATATATATATATATATATATATATATATATATATATATATATATATATATATATATATATATATATATATATATATATACTGATATAAAATATATATATAAGATATACTGATATATACTGATATAGATATAACTTGATATGCTGAATTGAAGATATACTGATGTACTATGTATTACTACACTTTTCTGTTTCTCTTGGAAAAAAACTCTAATTAATTTGTTTGTAAATGAATCCATTTTTCAATGCTGTTTATTTCTTTACTTTTTTTATTTTTAATTTACTTATTTATTTATTTATTTATTCATCTATATTTATTTATTTATTTATCTATCATTTA